AAGGGAACCCCTTGCCCGCTCTGCCACCTCCCCTTAGCCCCCCTCGCCCACCCCTTGCCCACCGGCCCCTCAAACCCCGGCTCCCCCCAGCTCCCTTTGGGGCTCACCCACCGTCCCCCGCGCTCCCTTTGGGGGTCCTACCCCCCGTTTCCCTCCCTTTCCCCCCTTTCCCATCGGCTCGTCCCCCTCCCCCCGCTCACCCCAGAGCTCCGCGCCCGCGGCCGCAGCGATGCAGCAGGAGAAGGAGGGGCGGCAGGAAGGGCAGGGAGAAAGGCAGAACGGGAACAGCAACAGGACCGTCCCCCCCCCCGCCCCATCTCGCGGCTGATCGGGAAGGGGGAGCTCGTCCCAAATATCTTGGTGGGGGTTTTGGTGTTTGTTTCTTTATCGGGGGGAGGGGTGTGTAGGGGGGAGAATGTTTGGATCTTACAGGACTCCAAAGCTGAGCCACAAATGCCCCTTGGAGTGACAGTCAGTGCACGGGATCATACTGGGAGTGACTGGAACTACCCAGACGGGAACTGGGAGCCAGTGGGGCCATGCTGGTAGTATGGTGGAACTGGGAGTAACTGGGAGTGACAGGGTGCATAGACTCCAGCATGGGTGCTGTAGGCAACTGGCATAGACTGGGAGTGACTGGGAGTGACTGGGATTGTACTGATGGGAAATGGAAGCATCCTGGGGCAAGTAGAAGTAACTGGGTATGACTATGAGCATGCTGAGGGCAACTGGGATATAGTGGGACTGTCTGCAACCGTCCTGGGGCTGACTGAGGCCACACTGGGAGTGACTGGGATCATAGTGGGAGCGACTGGGAGCACAGTGGGAGTGACTGGGAGTGGCTGTGAGCAACTGGGATCATGCTGGAAGCATGGAAAAGAGATTTCTTCCTTAAAAGACTCCTTTTGGCCCAAGACCCCTCGGTGCCATGGCAGATGTTTGCTGCGGTGTTTGAGCATTCCCAGGAGCACAAATCCACAGGGATCTGCTGCAAAGTCGCCTCTAGAAAGGCCAAACCAGCCAAGGGTGAGTTTTGTAGCCAAACCCAACCAGGTCTGTGTTTCCTGGTTCACCAGCTCTGCTCTTCTCCCCCTCCCTGAGGTGGGATGGGAGCAGCTCTGACACCCAAAAAGCTGCCAGAAACACCCCAAAAAAGTTGCCAACCCCCCCCCAAAATTAACGAGCCCCCTACAAATTCCAAGCAGATGCCGTCCTTCCACCCTTGTGCTTTGCTGCTGGTTAAAAGCAGGTTGGAAATACAATCCTATCTATTATTATTGTTACACCAAATATTGATCTAATATGATAATGTTAATTAAACTTTAACATATGTGTGCAGGTGACTCCTTGCAGGGGTTTGTGCAGGAGGAGGCTCTGGGGTGGCTCCTCCAGCCTCAGCCACTCCCCCCAGGGCAGTGATGGTGAGGAGCAGCCCCGTGACGAGCCCGGTGACCCCCAGGGGCACCTTTTTGTCCTGGATGGGACTGAGGCTGAAATGTGGGGACAAAGCCCATGGAAGGGGCACAAAGAGCACCCCACAGCCCCAGCTCTTGTACCCCCAGGGTCCCTTCCCCACCTCCCAGCACAGCCCCAGGCCCGTGGGGGGCTCCAGGTTCAGTTTGGGGGGGATCCCAGTGCTGTCAGCGGCACCCAAGGATTTTTGGGGCTGCATCCCCCCTGTGCCCCCTTCCAGCACGGGATGGGCACCCCCCCAGCCCCACAGCTTGCCAAGCCTTTTGGCCTTCCTTCCCTGCTCCTCCCCGGCAGGAACTGGCCTGTTGGAGGGGACTTGCAGCCTTTGGGCTGGGCCAGGCTGTGCAAAGGAGCTGCTGCCAGGCCATGGAGGGTCGGGCTGAGGGGAGGAGGCCGGAGCCCCCAGGCTGTGGCACTGGGGAGGCCCTGGGGCGCCTCTCTGGGCTCTGGGGCCTGGAGATTTCTCTGCCCTGGGCCAGGCCGTGGCAGAGGCCCCTGGGGGGTGCCCACACCCAGCACTGCCCCGACAAGGCCTCTGAGCAGGGCTGCCCTCCAAGCACCCCCTGCCCAGGCCGCAAAGACTTGGTACAAACCAACCCCTCCGGGCCCTGCCAAAGTGGCACCAAACACACCCAGGGGAGGCCCCAGGAGGGGACAGAAACCCCCCACAATTCTTTGGGTGGCTGTATCACAACCCAAAGGGCTCCACACCTGGTTTCCTTTGTAACCCAACTGCTCTAAAATAAACTCTCTCTCTCTCTCTCTCTCTCTGCAAACACTGATCATCCAGGATTGTTTCACTTTAATTCACTCCAAGGGATACAAGAATCAAACAAAAGTTCCTCCAGCCTGGCAGAGTGGGCTGTAACACTCCCCCATGGCTTTTGGAACTGATTTAGTGCCCACACACACAAAACTCAAACACAGCTTTGAAACAACCTCCCCAAAAGAGGAGCTGGTTTTCCTGGTGCCTCCCTCCGCTCTCTGCTGCAGCAGCTCCATCGCAGCAGCCCAGTCTGTGCAAACCAAGCCAGTTCCTGCTCAGGCCGGGAACTGGGCACTGCCAAATGCCTGATTTGGGGCACTTTCCTGCCAGGAAAGTCAAGCCCCCTTTTCCCTTCAGCGGCTTTAGGTGATTTGAGCCTTCAAAGCACCAGGACTGCCTTTGTTTTCCCAACTCAGCCTTGGCTCCTGCCGGCTCTGTGTGCCCTGGGAAGGTGTTGTCTCAAGGACTTGCACAGCTGATAATCCCCCAAACTCCCCCCAGGCAGTCACAGCCTTTTTCTAACCCTCTTCCTTTCCCCAGGGCTGGTTTTGTTCAGTTTCCTGTCCCAGCCTTTGCTCGCCCCTCTGTCGCTGCTCCAACCTCCCACCTTGGGCATATTTTCTCTCCTGGTCGATGGTTTTTCTTAAATTCTTTCCCTGCTCAGCCTTTCCCTGGCCATGCACTATTCCCCAAGGCAAAGTTCAAAATTCACAGGTTCACCAAAGCAAAACTGACCCCAGCAGAGCCATTTGTGGAATATTTGGAAGGAAAGAACCCAAAGAAACAGGACAAGCATCCACTGGCACAGAATGTGGATGCTGCTGGTGGGGCACTGGCAGCTGCAAAGAGTTTCCACACTTACAGAAAGTCTCTCTAAACCCTGACATCAACAAATTCCAATTATTACCAGTCCCTGCACCCAGCATTTCCTCCACAGGTAAATATTCTCCAGGTAAGAACCCTCTGCCTGTGTCCGCAAAGGAAGAACTGAGAAGATCATTTTTCCCACCCAAACCCTTGATTTTTCAAGAAGGTTTAGTTGATACAGTGATTTTTACAGTCCCCGACCCCCAAACTCCTCCTGCCCCAGGCTGCAGTTTAGGGCATTTTGGAGCAAAAAAAAGGTGGGGGAGGAAGAGGAGGAGAAAACAGACCTAGTGGGGAACAACAGAGGAACTTAGCATGGAAAATACTTCCACAGACACTGGGTTTGGGGAAATCAGGGATTTTTGTGTCCCAAAGAGCAGTTCAAAACTACTGCAGGCCAATATAGTTGTGACCTTTTTTTTTGCTGCCCAGGGAAGGGCAATGAGTCCCCAAGTAGCCGTGGGAGTGATTCAAAGGGGCTTTTCTGTAGTGACCAAAGGAGAGGGAATCCAACCAGTCAGCAGCAATTTCCACTTTTTGTCTGCAAATCCAAGAGTAATTCAGCCCTGACCTGAGGGGCCCCTGCAAGGAGACACCTGGGGGTCACAGGGAACCCAAAGTGGGACCCCCAGGCTGGGCTGGGCTGGAGGGGGAGGCCCAGGGGAGACGGAGCAGGACAGGCAAAAGAAAGCTGCTTCTTCTTGCTCCCCTTAGTCTCACATCCTCCTTCCCCCTCCCAAATTCGCTCTGGATCTGGGACAGCAATCTTGGGAAGAGAGAACTAAGCTCAAATCCAACCTTGCTGCATCCTGGGCCAGCCCAACCCCCACAGCCCCGATCTGGCTCAACACCCCCATCCCGGTCCATCCCACAGGCCCATCCCAGTATATTCCCAGCCCGGTCCATCCCACACCCCCATCCCAGTATATTCCCAGCCCGGTCCATCCCAGCCCGGGTCTGTCTTTCAGTCCCAGCCCGGCTCGGCTTGGCAGGGACTCCAAGCCCCTCCCGTGCCAGCCCTGCCCCAGCAGGGCCATGTGGCAGCAGCCGAGGCGGCTGCAAGGCCGGTCCCCCCCGGGCGGGAGCAGTGGCGGGCCCGGGGCAGCCAAAGGGGTCGGAGCGAGAGGAGCCGGGACGAGGCAGCGCTGCTGCGGCAGTGGCTCCTTCCGAGCCCACCGGGGCTGGGCGGGAAGGAGGAGCCCGCGGGCAGCCGCTCCCTGCGCGGGCCCTGGGGAGGGGACAGGGCGGGCCGGGAAAGAGCCCTGGCCATGTGCCCGGGGTGTTGGCAGTCTGTCCCAGTCCTTCCCAGTCTGTCCCAGGTTATCCCAGTCTGTCCCAGTCCATCCCAGTTTGTCCCAGTCCGTCTCAGTTCATCCCAGTCCATCCCGGTCCCTTCCCAGCAGCCGCCGCCGTTTCCCGGGTCCTGCCCCCCCGCCCCCCCAGAGCTGCCGCCGGACGCCGCCCCCCCAAGATGCTGACGGGGGTCGGGGCTCCGTCTTTGGCTTCGTCTCCCTGGGCTGGGGCTCGACCTCCGCCCGCGGGAGGTGCTGAGGGGGCTCCCCGGGGGTCGTGTGTCCCCCCCGGAGCGTGTGTGCCCCCCCGGGACCCCCATCCCGCTGTCTCCCCCTTTTCTCTCCCCACGGAACTCCTGCCCCAGCTCCCGCTCCCCCCTGGCAGGGGCTTTGGGAGCCCCTCTTTGCCTTGACCCCGGGACCCCTGCGGGGGGCAGTGGGGGCTGCCCAGGGCGGGCACTGGCCCAGGGCGATCGCCCCCCGCCCCCGCGGCATCCGCTGATCGCGGCGCTTCCCCCGCTTTGGCCCCAAAGCGGCGCCTTTAAGGCCGAGTTTAAGCGCAGGGCCCGCGAGTTCAGCTCGGCCCGGCCCGGGGGTCCCACCGCTCGGGCCCGTCCAGGGGGCCCGGGGGTGGCGGGGGGACCCGGGGCGGTGCCGGGAGGGGTCCCGAAGGGGATCCCGGGGCATTCCCGGCAATTCCCCCGGGCCCGCCCCCCGCGCTCCCTCGGTCACTTTCGCTTCCGCGTCTCCCGAACTGCGCCCAGCGGGGCCAGCGGAGCAGCGCGATGGCTCCAGCGCTGGGGCTGGGGGCGCTCCTGGCGCTCCTGGGGGTCTCGGGGGGGCAGCCCGAGGGTAAGTGGGACCCCCGGAACGGGCACCTCCTGAACCTTTATTCCCGGGCACCGGCACTTCCCCGAACCTCCATTTCCGGGCACCGGGACCCCCCTGCACCCTCTCCCTCCGCACCGGGACCCCCTGAATCCCGATTGCTGAGCACGGGAACCCCCTGAGCCCCCATTCCCGGAAGGAGACCTCCCTGAACACCCATTCCCGGGCACGGGAACCCCCCTGAACTGTGCCCTCCCTGCATCCTCTCCCTCCGCACCGGGATCCTCTTAAACCTCCTTATCCGGCACCAGGACCCCCCAGTTTCCATCCCTAGGCACTGAGACCCCCCTGAACACCCATTCCCGGGCAGGGGAACCCTCCTGAACCTCCATTTCTGGACCCTGGGACACCCCTGAACCCCCTTATCCTGCACCAGGACCCCCTCCACTCCCATCCTCATCTCCAGGACTCCTCTGAACACCCTTATCCTCAACAAATACCCTCCGGTGCCTCTTTTCCTGCCAATCCCGCCTCTCCCAGTCCCCTGATCCTCCCTTTTCCTTGACCCTGGGACCCCCTGGACCCCCATTCCTGCCTTTCCCAGCCCCCAGACCCCACTTTCCTCAACACCGAGGACCACTGGACCCCCCCTTTCCTGGGCACAGGGACCCCCTGGATCCCCTATCCTGCCTCTCCCAGTCCCAGCCCCCCCTTTCCTTGAACCTTGGACCCTTCCCAGCTCTCCCAGTTCCACTCCCTTGACCCTTGGACCCCCCAAACCCTCCAATCTCTGTGACTCTCCCCCAGTTCTCCACTCTCTGTGCTTCCTGCAGGGGGGTCCCAGGCACCGGGAACGCCTGCAATTCCTGGGCACCAGGACCCCCCTGAACTTCCATTTCTGGCACAGGGACCCCCCCGGAACCCCTTATCCTGCACCAACACCTTCCTGCACCCCCTTTCCTGGACATCCTGCCTCTCCCAGACCCCCCTTTTCCTTGACCCTGAGACCCTATGGACCACCTTTCCTGCCTTTCCCAGACCCCAGACCCCACTTTCCTCAACATTGGGGACCCCTGCCCCCCCCTTTCCTGGGCACAGGGACCCCCTGAACCTCCATTCCTTGGCATGGGAACCCCTCTACCCCCCCTTTATCCAGCACCCAGACCCCCCTGACCCTCCTTTCTGGTTCTGGGACCCCCCTGCACCCTCATTCCCAGCCATTCTGGGTCTGTTCACCCCATTACTCTCTTCCCCCAACACTGGGTCCCCTGGGCCCCCCTTTCCTGGGCACAGAGACCCCTGGATGCCCCATCCCACCTTTCCCAGTCCCTACACCCTCCTTTCCTTGGCCCTGGGATCCCCAAACCCCCTTCCCGGCTCTCCCAGCTCTCCCAGTTCCCCCTTGCCTTGACCTATGGACACCCCCAGACTCCCCAAATCTCCATGTCCCCCCAGTTCTCCACTCCCTGCGTTACCTGACTGTGGCGGTGACGGAGCCCAGCCTGAGGATCCCTCAATACCTGTCCATGGGATACGTGGATGGGATCCCTATCACACGCTACAGCAGCGAGCGGGGCCGGAAGGAGCCGCTGACGCTGTGGATGGCGGCTGGAGCCGAGCCGGGATATTGGGATAGAGGGACCCAGATCAATGAGGGGAACCAGCTCATTGCTGCCAAAAACCTGGAGAGAGTGGGGGGCTGGTACAACTGGAGTGGGGGTGAGTGGGGGGAGCTGGGGAATGGGGGGATGTGTGGGAATGGGGTGGGATCTGTGGGGCTGAGGGGGATCTGTAGGGCTGGGATGAGATTCTGTGGGTCTCCATAAACTCTGGGGCTCCATAGGGCTGGAATGGGGCCCTGTGGGGCCAGGACACAATTCCAGGGTCTCCATGGATCCGATCCCACCCCCCAGGTCTCCACACAAGGCAGCGGCTTTATGGCTGTGACCTCCTGTCCGATGGGAGTGTCCGCAGAACCCTTCGAATTGGCTACGACGGGCAGGATTTCATCTCCTTCTCCCCGGAGACCGGAACCTTCGTGGCGGCCGATGGAGCTGCCCAGATCACCCAGAGGAAATGGAAATCTGAAGGGTACGAGGCTCTTCAGCACGAGCTGGCACAGAGCTGTGCGGAATGGCTCCAGAAATATGTCAGATATGGGCGGGAGGCGCTGGAGCGCAAAGGTGAGGGAGACAGAATTCCCATGGGAATGAGAGATTTGGGAATGTGAGATTTGGGAGGGTGGAACTGAGGAACGTGGAAATTCCCATGGGAATTCCATGGATGAATCTGAGTCATCCAACTCCCATGGGAATTCCATGGATGGATCTCACCATTATCCCATTCCAGAGCCCCCCGATGTCCACGTGTCCTGGAAGGAGGAACATGGGATCCTGACGTTGTCCTGCCACGCATACGGATTCTACCCCGGGATGATCGGGATCAACTGGCTGAAGGGGGATGAACTGCGGGATCAGGAGACGGAGTGGGGCGGGATCGTTCCCAACAGCAACGGCACCTTCTACAGCTGGGCCAGGATCGAGGCGCTGCCGGGGGAGCGGGAGCAGTACCGGTGCCGGGTGGAGCACGCCGGAATGCCGGAGCCCGGGATCTTCGCCTGGGGTGAGGCTGGGAACGGGCAATGTGGGAACTGGGCATTTGGGAAGGAGGAATTTGGGAGTGTGGGACAGCGGGATGGGGGTAACCCTCCTCCTGTTCCCCCTCCTGCCCTTCCCAGAGCCGGAATCCTTCTGGAATTCCAGCCCGGTGTGGGTGGCTGTGTCCGTCATCGCTGCCATCATCATCATTGGCCTCGTGGGAGTCAGTGTCTGGAAGCTCCGATCCGGTAACTCCCGGGATGGGGGTCAGGAAGGGGCACGGATCCGCCCGGCAGCATTCCGGGGATCCTGTGCCACGGGTGCTGATCCCACTTTCTTTCCATAGGGAAGAGGGAGGGGAATGGATACGACCCCGCGCCCACCAGTGAGTCCCAGCAGCGTGTGTGGATCCAGATCCTCTGGGCAGGGATTCCAGGATGGATGCCGGGATTCCAGAGGGGAATGGGGGCCTAATGGCTGGAGTGGGATTGGAAGGGGATTCCAGCTCAGGGCAGGATTCCAGAGTGGGATCAGGTGGAATTGTGGACTAGGATAAGGGCTGGATTTTGGAGTGGGATTGGGGTGGGATGGATGGAGTGGGATTGGGGTGGGATGGATGGAGTGGGATTGGGGTGGGATGGATAGAGCAGGATCAGGAGGGAATCCGGAGCAGTTCCTACTCTCCCTGGGCTCCACAGCCGGCTCCATCCCCTGGGATGGGAACAGGGACATGGTGACTCCTTTCCCCACTCTCATCCCAGCAGGAATCACAGCCTGAGCGATCCCGGAGCTGGATCCGCCCCTTCCCTCTCCCTGCGGAAAGGCAGGAGCTGCTGGCAGAGCTCATCCTGCTGCTCCCACCCACCCCGGCCCCTCTGCGGCTCTTCCCAATGGATCAACTTCCTGCTTTTTCCCGTGTGAAACCAAGGACCACAATTATTCCTGAGGCTTTAATTTGGGTGTGAAAATCTCCTGCTTTGGGCAATAAATCCTGGCTCCCTCCTACAGCATCCGGCAGTTCCTCTGTGGGAACCAGGAATGGGAATGGGGACAGGAGGGCTGGGATGTGGACATTGGGGACAGGGCTGGGAACACTGGGAGCAGGTTGGGGACACCAGGAATGGGAATGGGGGCGTCAGGACTGGGATGGGAACACTGGGAATGGGAATGGGGATGTGGAATACCAGGATGGGAACAAGGGGGACAGGAATGGAGGACAGTGGGAGCAGGTTGGGGACAGCAGGAATGGGAATGGGGACTTGGAGGACCAGGATGGGGACACTGGGAACAAGTTGGAGTCACCAGAAGTTGGGAATGGGGATACCAAGAGCAGATTGGGGACACCAGGAACAGAGAATGGGAACACAGGGAGACAATGGGGAAAGGGATGAGGACACTTGGGAACAGGATGGGAAGGCCAGCAAAAGGTTGCGGACAACAGGAACTTGGAATGGGGACATCAGGAGTTGGGAATGGCAACACCAGGAATGGGAATGAGGACATGGGGGACCAGGATGGCGTCACGGGGAACAGGTGGGGCATTGCCAAGAACTGGGAATGGGAACACCAGGAGCGGGAATGGGAATGTGGGGGAGCAGGATGGGGACACCTGGGACAGGAATGGGGACACTGGGAGCAGGCTGGGCATTACCAGCAATGGGAATGGGCACGGCAGGAATGGGAATGGGCACAGCAGGAACTCTGTGTCTCTGCTGGCCCCCCGGGCTGTGCCTTGGAGCCCTGACAGCTCCTGCAGGTCGCAGCTTTCCCAAGGCCTGGCAGCCCTCGCTGCCGTTGCCGGTCCTGCAGCGCCGGGCGGGACGCGCTGCGGATCCCACCGGGCTCCGGCGCTGCCACGGAACCTGCCGGCACCGTCAGCCCGCACGGCACCCACGGCAAGGGGCACCACGGCCGGGCAGCTGCTCCCCACGGCATCGCCAGCCCACAGCACCCGGCAGCTCCCATTGACTCACTGCAGCAGGAGAGCAGCAAAGCCTGGCAGCAAACTCCCAGGGCAATTCTAGGGGCCAAAGGGACGCTTCCAGCAGCATTCCAGACTTGAGTATTCCCGCAGAATTCCTTCTCCAGCTCTGCAGCCTCTCCTGCTGTTCCAGGACTGTCGGGTTTACACTGCCCTCCTGCTGCTCCTGGCTCAGGGCTCGCCAGGTTCAGTGCCCCCTTGGCAGCCCCGGACAAAAGGAGGGCACTGCTCTGCTCTGCTTTCTGCTGCTGAACATCTTCATTCTCCTCCTCGCAAGGATCCACAACTCTCCCGCTTTACAAAGAGCAGCAGCACTTGGCAGGCCCGGCAGGATCTTCCCCACAAAGGCCGTGGCACTGCCCTGTGCTCGTCCTGCCACAGGAGCTCAAGGCTTCTGCACAGCACAACTTCCCAGCAGTGACCTCCCTGCTCCAGAGGGATGAGGAGCCTCTGCTGAACTGCAGAGATTCACACACTGCAACCACTGCACTGCCTGCATTCCCTGCCATTCTGCAGCACTTGGGCATCTACTGTGGCTCTTCCTGCTGTTTAAGAAGGAGGTTTGCAAACTCGGGGAACTGGATGGAGTTTTGTTCCAGCTGCCAGCTAAGGAAGTTTTCAACCTGTTACACAATACATGCAATGAAAGCTACAGTGATTTAAGAACTTGGACTCCAGCAGAACTGCAGGTTTATTTATTTCATCAGGAAAAATATACCAGGAAATAAAGCCATCCCTTAATATATGGAGGTCAAATGAACTCATTTACGTAAATAAATAGGCTGTAAAAAGGAAGTTACTGACTTTTATACACAGATACATTAGAGAAGGGAGCAGGATACAATGCTTGGGATGCTCCTTGGAATGCTAGTCCAGAAACATTAGACTCCACAGAACATTAGACTCCACAACAGAATCCTGCCAAGTAATTATATCCACATAGGAAAGTGAATTGTTGGCGACCCTGACCTGGTTTTTGGAGATATCAGGAGCTCCTAAAAAACAAATATCTTAAACTGAAAGCTTAATTCAAGTAGCTGAATCTACCCAGCACAGGGCCTTCTACAGCTCATGGTGAGCTTTCTTTCAAGACAGAAAACCCCAAACAGGCACAATCTTCCACTCCAAAGTCTCACCCAACTGCCTTCATCTCATCCCTGCCCTCCCCCAAGAAGATTCCACCAGCCAAGCCCAGGGCACTCCAAGGGAAACCCTTGTGTGACCTTGTCTGGTGTTCCCTGGGCACTGAGGGAAGAAGAGAAGTTTATCAAGGTGCCAGCGTTTTCTCTGAAATGGTCACTATGATCTGAAGGGTCAAACTCAGAAGTGTCTGAACCTGCAGACAGTCCTTCCTTCCATGCAGAGATGCAGCTGCTTGGGAATGTTATTCCCTGCTCTCAGCTTTGTCGTAAGGAGGGAAGAAAGTGACACTCAATATGAGAATCAGCAAGCTTCGTTTATTGATCATTGCTAACAGCTTAATATATGCTTTATAATTAGTTCATACATATTGCAAAAGCTAAGCTCATTATTGGTTCTGCTTAAATGTTGGTCTCATCTCTCACTCTCTTTCTTTGTTGACACTTAGATGTTAATTCTGTCTCTCACTCCCTTCCTTTGTTGACACAGGTGGCTTTCAGTTACTTTTTGTTTTGCTAATCACAGTGTCCTGTTTACCAGCCAGCTAACACGGTACAAAGGCATTGTAACCCCCCTATCTCAGATGTTCCCACGGCCTAGGCAAGCCGTGTTCTATAGCCAATTCCCTACAAATACCCCCATTTTTTATTCTGGGCTAACAATGTTTCCTCTGTTATAGTACTTACACGTTTAACAATACAAGAAAAAGCAATACGAACTATTACTAAAATTATAACAATTGTCAACAACCATCGTAGGCTTTTCTTTAACAAAACTTAGAACCCATTCAGATATAGAACCAAAAATAGATTGAAACTACGAGTCTATAGGACTAGTTGTTACTGTTACTTTCTTTGTGTGTTCTACTGTTTCACCCAGGTTCTACAATTCTTTTGTGTACAGGTTAGGTAGTTTGTGTCAGCTGGACAAGTCGTGGCTTTGATAAACACTTAATCTAGATTGAAATAATCTTAACATAAAACAGGTTTGAGTCTCATTATCACTTGTGTTACCTACAGACAGTGATCTCATTAAACTTAACTCCTGGGGATCTTTTGCCAGAGTAAGACCTCGAGGGTTAGTACTAAAATAGACAGTACAAGCACGAAGACAATCTGGACAAGAGACAACAACTGAGCGAGCAATAGAATGAATTAAACTACATTGACATCTGAAGGCTTCTGTATGCTGTGCTCTCAGTTCCTCACCAGTGCCCTCCTCCTTGCTCTCAGCCCTGTCACGAGGCTCAGACAACACGGCCGAGGTGGGTGCTGAGGCCAGGCTGAAGGATGGACTGACATGCCCCATCTGCCTGGACATTTACAGGAACCCTATGTCCCTGGGGTGCGGTCACAGCTTCTGCAAGGAGTGCATACAGAAGGAACAGAAATACGCCAGCAGGGCCCTTCCCAGTGCCCACTCTGCCTTTACCCCACAGGCCCCCGTCCAGCCATGAAGACTTGCTTGACTTACAAGGCCTCCCTGTGCCAAGCCCACCTGAGTAAGCATAGCACAAAAACACTCAGAAAAAACTACGTTCTGGTGGGGCTCTGTGGTGCCCAAGTTTTGGCTGAGAGGAAATCCCCCAGCACGGTAAACTGCTGGAATGCTACTGTGAGAAGGACAAGGTCCGCACCTGCACACTGCACTCCGCCCCCAGCTCCCACAGGGACCACAAGACCATCAGCTTAAAGGAGGCTTTTGGCCAAGCACAGCGTGTTTTTCCCAAAACTGTAAAAGAGGTGAAAAACTATGAAGCTGCACTGGATCAAAGCATAGGAAACTTGCTGGAACAATCCTCTGCAAAGGAGTTCTTTAGAGTACAAACAATGCTTGAAAATTAAGACTTGGCATAACTGGTCCGCTCTGGCCTCCAGCCAGGAGGCCTGAAGACACACTATCCACAGCACTGCAGATGTTTTTGAGAAGGCACGCAGGATGGCCTTGACAGCCTACCCCTGCAATGAGCTGAACAAACAAGGCAGCAACATTGACAACTCTTGATTTAAATCCTGGAAAACACAGAAAAGCTCAAAATGACCCTCACTACTGCCATAGCAGATGCAAATGCAATTATTTGATGGTTTAAGGACCTCACCCCGGCACAAGCCTGCATTATCTCTAGCTAGTTATGTAACTAGCAACTTCTGTAACTGTCAGAAAACTTGTTTCTCTACAGCGTCTTGCAGCTTTTCCACGAATTGTGAGAATGGTTCCCGGGCACCTAGATGCACAGTGGTGCACCCTGCCTCGGGCTCTGCCAACCTTGCAGTCTGTACTAATGTTTACTGGTTTATGGTTTTTACTCGCTTTAAAACTAGTGATCTCCTGCGCAGCTTGCACAGCTAAGGAACAACAGCAGTAGAAAAACTCTACCTGAGACTTAACTTGCATAAATTTCATACAAGGCTGTAATAGAACACCAAATTTATGTAAGAACCTCTTATTTAACCTCAGTTCAGATCAAACAGCTAGCTGGACAGGGCTAGTCTTGAGATAACTAAAACCTCACTACTCATGATAGGAATTTGAAGAATTCATATACCATCCAGAATAAGGATTCACTATGGTTCAACAGAATCGTGTTACACATCTCTAAAATCTTGACACCGGCAGAAAGTATTTTTAAGTTTACACAGTCACACATTCATGTAGCTTTTTTCTTTC